CCCCTCCAGCACCGTGCCTCCAGGGCTCCTTTGGAAGAAGAAAGCAACCTCCCAGATGGCCTTGCTGTTTCCAAGCCAGACAGCAATCAGTGATCCTTTTTCTTCCAAGTTTTGAAAAAATGTATTACTAATTGGAATTTAATGCATATATCACTCCATGGTTCAATCATGTCGAGTAGAATCGTACAACAGTTGCTCCCACAGTCACTTTCCAGGCATTCTTTTTCTTTTTTCTTTGTAACACTTTATGATTTATCTAAATCATTTTATTGGGGACTGGTACAACTCTTATCACAATCCACACATCCATCCTTTGTGTCAAGCACATTTTACATTTGTTGCCATCATCCATTCTCAAAGCATTTGCTTTCTGCTTGAGCCCTTGGTATCAGCTCCTCATTTTTTCTCCTTCCCCGCTCCCAAGGCATTCTTTTTCTACCTGGATGCCTTGACATTGTTTCCCTTTTACCCCACTCCCCACTTATTCTTCTTGCTGTCCCTATAGGTTCATCAATCCTGGGTTTCATAGCCCGAAAAGCGGAAAAACGTAACAGCTTCAAGAGGGTGACTGAGATATACCCCAATATGAACAAACAAACCCCAAACAATATCAGGTCCAGCTGCATCAAAGGGGGGAATCTACTGACAAGATTTTAACTGTTCAAGTCAGATTTATGCCTCTGATCTTTTATACTCATCTCTCCCAAGCACTCTGTTTCTTCCTCCCATCTCTCAGTGTTAGACAGGGGAGTCCTCTGGAGACCTGCGTCCTAGGTATCGTGGGCCCCACTGTCACCCATCACCTCCTGCACCCGATTCTCACGATTTAGGCTCTGATACTGATCCCTCCTTCGCCTTTGGATTATATGGATTTCAATCCTTCAGTGACTAGTGATGGTGTGCTACTTCCATGTGGACTTAGCTGCCATCTCGTTTAGATGGCCGCTTATTTAGAGACAATCCTTTAAGACCCCAGACACTATTTTATCTGCTAGCTGGGCACCATCTAAATTCTTTGCCACATTTTGCTATAGCACCCACCTCCTCTGTGTTGCCTTCCTGAGGGCGAGCAAATGATCTCAGTTAAACCCATGTGAAACCATGCCAGTTCCCTGTTTAGCATGATTCTGAGGCTTCGCATCCCTCCTAGAATCTAGAATCTTTTTTTTTAAATCATTTTATGGGAGCTCATAACATCCCATAGTTCAACCACATCAAGCAGTATTATACAATTGCTAATACAGTTAGTTTCAAAACATTTTCTTTCTTCTTGAACTCCTTGATATCAGCTCCCCTTTATCGGATCCATCCTCCCCCTCCAGGAACATTTATTTATTTATTTATCTAATTAATTAATTAATTAAATTTTCCCACCTCTTAGGCCATCCAATAAATCCATTCACATACAGTTTTGTTGTTCGCACCCCTCGAGTGGGGATATACAGTCATCAATGCTGTCGGCTCCCCCTTCCCTTCCTGTGGTTCCCCCCTCACTTCCTGTTCCTTCAGGGAACCATTACTCCTGTTACTGTTTCTGAAGGGTTATATATCTTGGTTTTCATGTATCAAATGATCTTAATTATACAAATGAACATACACAAGTCTAACATGATTAATGTGGTAAAACAGAAACCATAATAGTAAGGGGAGGAAATATTAAAGAATAAAGGATGTTATGTGGTTTATCAGTGCTATACCACACCCTGGATTTATCATCCCTGCCATGTGGTCCTTCTGAGAGGGACTCTCCAATTATCTTGCAGGTGGGTTTTGGCTCTCCACTACATCCCCACCTCTTCACATCGATTTGGTTGCTTGTTTTTGAACTTCCAATACCTTTCCCCATCAACACCTCATGATCACACAGGCTGCTGTGCTGCTTCCATGCGGACTTTGTTGCTTCCCTGCTAGGTAACTGTTTATTTAATTACAAGCCTTTAAGACCCCAGACACTATATCTTTTATTAGCTGGGGACCATCAGCTTGCTTCACCATATTTGCTTATGCACCCATTTTCTCTTCAGCAGTCATAGGAAGGTGAGTATCATACAATGCCACATTATTAGGACAAACCGTTCATATACTGAGGTAAGATTTAAGTAGAGACCCAAAGCCCATCAGCTTCCTTGTTGCATTATATACATATGTAAACAAATATACCCATAGTTATATATTTACATATATACCTATATATTTTTTGTTGCTTTTTTCTTCTTTCCTCTTTTTCTTTTTTCTTTCTTCCTGCCCCACTATCATGTTTATCTATCATTCACCTCTCAGCAATTCCTCTCCCTAGAATCTTTTACCTCCCTTGCACAGCCTAGAAGATCCAATGGGCCCTTTCAATCTTGACACTACTCCTTGGCTTTTTAATTTTTTCCCCTGTACCTAGAACTGTAGGGTCCTTGCACTTACACTTGCTGGTTTATTCTTCATGGGACTCCCGCTTCCCAATGCCCTCACTCTCACATGGCTGGCTCATCATTAAGTCTTAGCTCCAATACTACCTCATCAGGAAGGCATAAAAACTCCACCTGCTGCCCACACCCACCCTGCTCACATATTGTGTGCACTTAGCTGATTGTGACTCTTTAACCTTATAGAATGGAGTAGAATTGCTTCACAGAGTTTTGTGGGCTGCAATCTTTCTGAGAACAGAAAGCAAGTCTTTTCTCGCTCAGAGCTGCTGCTGGGTTACAGCCGCCTAGCACCTGAACCATGGTGCCACCAGGGCTCTTTCTACTAAAAACAAACACTGCCATCAAGTAGATCCCCACTCTCAGCAATCTCACAGGGCAGAGTAGATTGCCACACAGGGTTTCTAAGTCTATAAATCTGTATGGAAACAAGCAACCTCATCTTTCTTCCCTGGAGCAACCAGTGGGTTTGAACCACTGACCTTGTGGTGTGCAACCTAGCACTCTCACCTCTGCTTCCCCAGGTCTCCTCTCTCCTTATGCTTATTTGTTCACTTGTTTATTGTCTCCCTTCCCCTACCAGAAAGTAAGTTTAGCAAGAAGAATCCTTTCTGTCTGGTTTGCTCAGCTCTCCCCATTGCCTGGCCCGCAGGAGCTAGGGATATTTATTGAATCTGCTTCCTAGCCCCATCTGTTGTCCTGTCCAGCCCCCAGCCTCCCCAAACCATGCTTGCCACACCCAGCTCTGAAGCTTGATTTTAGTACACTCTTACTTCCTGCTAACCACATCTGGGCTCTGCATTCGATCAGCTACCTGATAGTCACCAGCTCCCCTGGGCCCACTCCACCCCATGCAACACGTCCTGCTTCAGCCCATGACCCAAACTGGCCCCCACGCCCCCACCCCCACCCCACCAGCTTGTGCTTTCGGCCCCCTCTATCCCCTGCTGATACATGCACACATACTTGGCAACTCTGAATATATTTAATGAGAAGGTCATGAGAGGTTGGGGGGCTGGTGGGGAAAACTCCCCGGGTTTCCCAGAGGTCCAGTCCCTGGTGGTCCCCTTCAAATGGTGGAGTCATTGGCTGAAGCTACATCATGTAGCTGATGGCGAAAGGAGAGTCGGGCTTTTCTGCTGAAGTAGGCACTGGCTGACTCCGGGGAGAGCATTCCACCCTCAGTTACACTGGAGGCTGTCGGTGGGCTGTGATCTGAAGAGGCGGTTGGATCCAAGCCTGAAAGGGAGATGGGAGGAGGAAGAAGGGAGTCTGGTCAGGGTTCCTCGTAGCCCACCCTAGTTGAGGAGGCGAGAGGCAAAAGAAGATGTCTGGGGGCCTGGGGCTGAGCAGGTTGGTGGTAGCTGCAGGAATAGGGAGAAGGGACGTCAATGGAGCAGGGCCTGCTTGGTTAGCTCAGAAGGGCCCCAGGCTTGCCTTAATGCTTTCTGATGCTGTCTTGAAATTCTTATTCCTTTTTAACTTTCTTACTCATTTTTAACAGGGGACTCTGCCCTTTCAGTTTACACTGGGCTCATGGAGTCTTGTGGAGGAGTGACGGGTCCACCCCCACCCAGAGGGAGAGATTCTCTTTTCCCTTCCACTGGTTTGTCTGGCTACGCAATGCCCTGTCTGTCTGTCTGTCTGTCTGCCTGCTTGGCAGTCCCCCTTTCTTCTCATGCTCCCCCCATACCTGCTCCTCTTTCCGTCCCCCGCTGTCTCCGGCACCCACACCATAGGAAACACCATGCCCCCTTCAGACCCATCGCAACAACGGAGGCGATGGCGATGGTGGGAACGGCCAGGAGGGCCCCTGGGTGAGGGGTGTGGTTTCCAGGCCCCCCCACCATGGGCAAACTACCACTTAGCTTCAGACCGGCCTGGTGATTACAGGCGCCAGGGGACAGAAAGGCGAGAGGAGGGGGAGGGAAAGGGAGGAGGATGCCCCCATTCTAAGGGCTCTCTTTATACTCACTCTAGCTTTAGGGTCCTCTCAGAGGCCCTTGGAGCAGAAGGGGGATATTGGGAGGAGTGGCGTGGAAGAGATAGACACAGAGGTGCTGTGCTAGAGAGATGCAGGGACCAGCCAGGCTATCAAGTCCAGCGAAAATCTAGGATAGCAGTTCCAGGAAAAATTCAGGATAGTAATTCCAGACACTTATTGGTGCCAGACTAGACACGGCTGGGGATTCATTGGTATTTTAGAAGGAAACCAAAGGGTGCCCAAGATGTAAAATCTTAGTCTTTCTCCTTTTTTAGGGTAAATCATAGAAATTGTACTAGCCAAGGAAATGTTATATTCTCATTAAATGGTCTGGTAGCTGTTGTCCCCTTTTAAAGAAGATACCCAAACCACAAAACAACCAAACCCAAACCCATAGCCATTGAATCTAGTATTCTGATTCATAGCGATCCTGTAGGATAGAGTAAAACTGCCCCATAGGGTTTCCGAGGTTGTAAACCTTTATAAGAGCAACAACCTCATCTGTCTCTTGAGGAGTGGCTGGTGGGTTTGAACCACCAATCTTTTGGTTAGCGGTCCAGTGCTTCCTGGACATCGACCCGATGCTGATTCCTAACTCTCACTGCCTGGGAATGGAATCAGACTCTTAGCACCCAAAATAGGTTGCCAAGGCTAAATCTCTGTGGGAACAGAAAGCCTCACCTTTCTCCTCAGACATGCCTGGTAGGTTTGAACCACTTACTTGGAGGTTAGCAGTCCAATGTTTATACACTAGCACTCCCTTTTATGAATACAAAACCCAAACCAAACTCACTACCCTCAAGTCAATTCTGACTGATGGAGACCCCCTTGGGCAGGGTAGAATTGCTCCTGTGGTTTCCCCAGATTGTCACGCTTTCTGGGAGTAGAAAGCCCAGTCGTTCTCCAGAGGAGCAGCTGGTGCTTAACCACTAGGTCACCAGGGTTCCTTGATGAAGATAGTTAGATGTAATTGGCTAATTTTTGCTGTGCCAAGTAGATGCTAGGGACTTCTGCATGTTATCACATCAACGATCTTTGGAGAAACAAAGGCACTGAAAGATGAGGAAAGGTGCCCAAAGCCACACAGGCATTTGCCAGCAGAGCAGGAACCCCACCCAGGCCAGTCAGACTCCATAGTCCACTCTGCTAACTTGACGCGGGGCTGCCCAAGCACCAACTCTCTGGCAGACAAGCATCCCTTCAGCTGGTCTGGGGTCACCAGAGCCCAGGTGGGGATCCTCAGGGCCAGAGCACCCTGCCAAGGAACTCTAAATGCTCTCAAGTAAAGCGGTCCGAATGCTCTACCCTAATGCTGCCATAAGGAACCCTGGTGGCATGGGGAATTAAGCTTTGGGCTGTTAAGACTGACAGTTCAAAACCCACCAAATGTTCCATAGGAGACAGAGGAGGCTTTCTGCTCCTGTAAAGATGTACAGTTTCAGAAACTCCAGGGAGCAGGTGTCTGTCCGTTAGTGTTATTAAGAGTCAACAGTGAGTTCAGGGCCGTGATGTGGTAAAAGTTAGAAGCATGCAGGCTCCCCTGCACCACCTAACTCAGACAGAAATCTATTTGCCTTTTGTTTTTCAAATGAACTTTATTGAAGCAAGAATTTCCCTACAACTTACTGTCTACGTAGAGGAGCCGTGGGGGTGTAGTGGTTGTACGCTGTGTTCTGCAAGGTCGGCAGTTTGAAACCACCTACAGCTAGCTCCCCAGGAGAAAGACGGGATTTTCTACTCCCTTGTACAGTGACAGTCTCAGAAAAACCCAGGAGTTGCAATGAGTCAGCATCGACGCCAAGGCGATGAGTTGGGTTTTGGAGTAATGTACACATGGGCAAAGAGGCTTTCTCCTCCCTTCAAACAGCTGCAGTCTCAGGGAAACTCACAGGGGCAGTTCTACCCTGCTCGCTATGAGTCAACTGCACAGTTGATTCCAGCTCCCGGTGGCTCCGTGTGCACCAGCGTAGGACAGTGCTCCACGAAATTTCAGTGGTTTCTTTTCCTTCTGCGAACCCTTGGGTGGATACCAACCTTCAACTTTGCAGCAAGCAGATGAGTGGGTTAAAAGTTCGTGGCATATTCTGTTTGACCCTTTATCGTCGATCTTTCCCAGCTCTCTGTGCCAAGCAACATAGAAGCCCTGGTGGTATAATGGTTACACATTAGGCTGCTAACCACAAGGTCAGCAGTTTGATACCACCAGTCACTCTGAGGAAGTAAGACAAGGGGTTCTACTTCCATAAAGAGTTGCAGTCTTGGAAACCCACAGGGCCAGTTCTACACTGGCCAGAACAGACTCTACTCCAGTGAGTTTGGTTGGGTTTGTAAGAAACTACTGCTGACTGGATTTGCGTGATAGGCTGGTTTTGCCTGTTTTAGAACTTCATGTCAATGGAATCTTTTAGCATAATATTTTAAAAATTCACCCATTGTATGTATTAAAATTTCATCTGTTTGTGTATTATTAAATTACATCTTGATTGAGATGTCATTTCCAAACCAAACTCACCGCCACTGAGTCAGCTCTGACTCACAGCGACCCTGTAGGACAGGGCAGAACGGCCCTGGTGTGTGCCTGAGACTGTGACTCTGTATGGGAGTGGAACTCCTCATCGGTGGTTCTTCCTCAGAGTAGCTGGTGGTTTCGAACTGCTGACCTTGTGACTAGTAGACATTAGACTATTTACAAAGTGATGCAACAAACCACTAATTTTATATTTTAATTACCTCTAAAACAAGTCTTAGACCTCTTATCAATCGCTCCCGCCCCCCCCCAGCCCTTGGGAACCAGTGGTTACTTTCTGCTTCTTCTGGGCATTTCAGACAATATAATATGTAGCTTTTGTGTCTGGCTCCTTTCACTCAGCATAATGTTTACAAGGCTCATTCGTGAGATAGCAGTTCCTTCTGATGGCTGAATAATCTTCCATTGCATGAGGAGCCCTGGTGGCGCTGGGGTTAAGGACTCGGTGAATAACGGTGGGTCGGAGGTTCCCTCCACTTCCATCAAGGTTGACAGCCTTGGAAACCCTTTGTGGCAGTTTTACTTTGTCCTTTAGGGTCCCTAAGAATTGGGATCGACGTGGAGCAGTGAGTTTTGTTTGGGGTTTGGTAGGGATATACCACATTTGGGTATCTATTATTCAGTTGATGGACTTTGGGATTGTTTCTACTTTTAGGCCAAATGAATAATACTACAATGAACTTTTGTGTACATGCTTTTACCTGGATGTAGTTTTCTTTTTCTTCTTTTTATAAATCATTTTATTGAGGACTCTTACGGCTCTTAAAACAATCCATACATCAATTATATCAAGCACATTTGTACATAGGTGGTAGTTCATCATTTTCAAAACATTTTCTTTCTACTTGAGCCCATGGTATCAGCTCCTCTTTTTCCCCTCCCTTCCTTCCCCTCTTCATGAACCCTTGACAAATTAAAAATTTTTATTATTTTCATATTTTACATGGATGGATGTGGTTTTCAATGCTCCTGGATATATACCTGGGAATGGAATTGCTCAGTCATATAATATCTATATTTAACGTTTAGAGGAACTGCCGAGCTGTTTTCAAAGTGACTGTACCATGATACAGTTTATTCATTTTTCTTACTGAGTAAGATACTACTGGCGTGCGTCATCAGACTATTAGTCAAAAGGCTGGCAGTTAGAACTGACTCAGAAGGGCCTTGGAAGGCATTCTGCTTCCCAAAGGTCACAGTCCTGGAGCTCCTATGGAGCAGTCAGTTCTGTTCTGTACACATGAAATGCTTATTTCCACTGAGTTGATTCTGACTCATAGCAACTCTATAGTGCAGGGTAGAACTGGCCCCATGGGTTTCTGAGACTGGAACTCTTCACGGGGGTAGCAAGCCTCACCATTTCTCCCGGGGAGCTGCTGATGATTTGAGCTGACACTGTGCTGTTAGCAACCCAAAGCACAACCCACTATGCTACTACTAATGGTTACATTCTGCTATTCGCCTATGCCACTCATTAATCAAAGCTTAGCTTTCTTCTCTTCAAAAGTATTATTAAGAAAATGAAAAGACAAAGCACACACTGGGAGGAAATACTGGCAATAGTTTTATCTCATAAAGGACTTGCAGCTACACTACATGACAAATGTACAATTCAAGAAGACGGTGATTACAAATTGGCAAACTACTTGAACAGACACGGCATGAAAGAAGATATGCAAATGGATAATTGCATGAAAAAATTGTCAACCTTATCAGGCAGAGGAGAAATACAAATAAAACCATAGCATATCACTTTTCACCAATTAGAAATGTCTAATTAATGTTTAAAAAACTGATGTTATCAAGTCCTGGGAAACACGCCCAAGGACCATCCGCTGACTTTGCAAATATAAAATTGAACAAGCATTTTGGAAAAGTAGTTTGGCAGCTTCTAATAAAAGTGAGCAGCAACTTAGCAATAACTCAAAGTCATTGCCATCGAGGGGATCCCAATTCGTAGCGACCTTGTAGCTCCCTGCCCCCGAGAGCTTCTGAGATTGTAAGTCTTCACCGCAGTGGAAGCCTCCCCTTCCTCCCACAGAGCGGCCGGTGGTTTCCAACTCACAGTTATCTTGTGGCTAGCAGCCCAACGCTGTAACCACACCCCACTCTACTCCTCGCTACTTGACCCACGGAGAATAAAAGGACATCTTTGCACCACACTCTGTACAGGGATGTTCATATAAGGCTGCCCTGGTGGCACTCTGGCTAACCCTTCCTTGTGGATAGGTCCACAAGGCCCCAACACACCAGCTGCCCTGGTGTGTTCACTGAGGCTGTACTCGCAACAGCCAGAAGCTAGAAACAGCCTAGATAGCCATCAAAAGGATCAAGAAAGGTGCCTTTTGATAGTTACTGAGGTTAGGGTTGGCATTTTCCTGTTTCCTCCAAGGCTGTACGTTCCCCAAGAGCAGGCCCGCAGCCTGGTGTGCAAAGGACGTGTGGAGAATGAATGACGGCGTGGACACAGGCGTGTGCACCACCTCCAGCCCCGATCGCGCGCCCGCACGGTGTGCCCCTTCCGTGGGCAAATGCCGCTCAGGGCCCGCCCGAGGCCCAGGCCCGGCACTCGCAGGTCCCCGTCGCGGTCGCGCGTCTGCCGGGGGCCCCGGCCGCGCCCGGGACCGAGCGCTCCAGGGGCCGGCGCCCGAGCATAGCAATGTGCGCAGCTTGGAGCGCCCACTGGGCGGCAGCAGGGCCCGCGCAGAACGACCGACCGACCGACCGACCGACGGGGCGAGGCAGAAGCGCGGACGCGCGGACAGTCGCCAGCGGGACGCACCCGGAGGGCCGAGCGGCCCCCAGGGCGCAGGGGGCCCCCTCGGGTCACCGGCTGCGCAGACCAACCCGGCGGACCGAGACAGACGCGAATCCTCCGGAGGTGAAGCTGGGGGGCTGGCCCGCCCCCGAGGGCAGGCCCTGAGCCCGGGCCCCGCCCCGGCCCGCTGGGGTGTGGGCTCCTGCGCCGGCTCCGCTCCGCGCCCTCTGCTCCGCGCGGGCTGCCAGGGTGAGGGCCCGAGAGGGGTGCCGCGGGGGCCTGGGCCCCGGAAATCGGGCGGGGGCGGGATGGACTGGGGGGCCCGGGCCTGGGCACTTGGCCGGACTCTCAGATTTCGGGGTTTTGCTCCCGAAATCGGAGCACGCAACTTCCTCATTCCAGCTGGGACCCGGTCTAGCAGCTGATTTGGCAACGCCTGGGGGCCCCCTCCTGCCCCAGCTTCTGCTCTATTCCAGTTTGGGGCCACCCAGGGCGGCCTCGGTGCCCTTCTGGCGAGCCCTGGTTTAAGATGAAGAACTGAGATAGGGAGATGGATGACAGAGGGTTCGGCAGGCACTGCAGACGGATCCGGCCATATTGAGGGTTGGGGGTCAGCGGGAGCCCCGCGGGTGGGGAAGACGAAGATCTGTGGAAGATGGTCCGTGGGGATTGGGCTGGGGGACAGGGTTTTTTTTGACGCAGGTCACCTCCCTGAAGCCTCCCTATATTCCTAGGATGATGGCGACCCCAAGGAGCCTGTTCTCTACCGGGGGTGACCTGGACTCAAGTCAACTACAGATGGAACCTGATGAAGTGGACACCCTGCAGGAGGGGGAGGACCCAGGTATACAGAGTCCAGTACTCAGCGAGGTGAGGGGATCGAGCAGGGGGCTCGGGGCCCCCGATATACACTTGCATTTTCTCTCTTCCCAGCGGACCGGATGCATCCTTTCCTGGCCATCTATGACCTTCAGCCTCTGAAGATGCGCCCTTCCGTGTTTGCTCCTGGGGTCCCCATCACAGCCCAGGTGGTGGGCACAGAAAGATACACGAGTGGATCCAAGGTGGCTGGGAGGGCTTGGGAGGTGGGGAGAGGAAGAGCTGGCAGAGGGGAGGCCTGGCACCCAAGGGGGGATGGGGGACACACACCGACTCAGTTCCTCGTACCCGCAGGTGGGAACGTGCACCCTCTATTCTGTCCGCTTAACTCACGGTGACTTTACCTGGACAACCAAGAAGAAGTTCCGCCATTTCCAGGAGCTGCATCGGGACCTCCTGCGGCACAAAGTCCTGATGAGTCTGCTTCCACTGGCTCGGTAACCCAAACCCAACCCAGTGTCCGAGTTGAGTCCGATTCACAGGCACCCTTAGGACAGAGTAAAACTGCCCCCATAGGCTTTCCAGGACTCTGCATATGTATGGAAGCAGGCTGCCTCCCCCTTCTCCCTCAGGAGCCAGAGGGTGGGTTTGAATTGCCAACCTTTCAGTTAGCAGTCCAAAGGTGTACCAGGGGCACCCTTCACTTGATAAAGCATAGCTCCCCACCCTCATTATTTCTTTCTCCCTCTCATCCCCAGCCACAACCGTTCTTCCCTGCAGCTCAGTCCACCAGACCCCTGCCCCTGCCCCTGGTTACTAGGACACTTTTCTTGCCCCGCTCTCTTTGCCCATGGATCTATGCCAATATCTTTTCTGGGCTCAATGTCCAAAATGTCCTTGGCGGTCTCCTTTCCCAGGGTAGGGGCCCTCCCTCTCCCCAGTCTCTGGGCCTCCTGCCCTCCCTCTACAGCCCGCCTCAATGCTCCAGAGGCCCAGACACCTGGCCTCTGGCTCTTACCTGACCCTCAGGCGTCCCATCCACAGCTTTGCTGTTGCTTATGCCCCAGCCGGAGAGGCAGCCGACAGAGAGATCCCCTCTCTACCCCGAGTGGGGCCTGAGGGCTCCACCAGGCATGCTGCCAGCAAACAGGTGAGACCACACACCAGGCCCTCTGGGAAGGAGTGTGGGCTGCAAACGGCTCTGTTCCCATCTGTTTCTCTGGCTTCCCTCCACCCCGACTTCAGAAATACCTGGAGAATTACCTTAACCGCCTCTTGGCCACATCTTTCTACCGCAACTATCACGCCATGGTAAGGCCCTGGGACTGGATGCGGGACCCATTTGAGGTGGGACAGGGTCCTGTAACTCCCAAGGGAGCTGAGGAGCAAGGTGAATGGGGTCTGCCGGTCGGAATGCCAGGTTCTCTCCCCTGAGCCTTTGCCTCCCTCCGCAGATGGAGTTCTTGGAAGTCAGTCAGCTATCTTTCATCCCAGCCCTTGGCTCCAAAGGACTGTGAGTGTGTGACACCCCTGACCCAGATGTCTGCAAACATCTCTCAGGATCTCCCTCTGTCCTGATAACAGGAAAAGGGACTGGTCTCTCTTCTTGATTTTCCTCACAGGGAGGGCGTCATCCGGAAGCGCTCGGGGGGCCACCGGGTCCCTGGTTTCAACTGCTGTGGCCGAGACCAAGTGTGCTATCGCTGGTCCAAGAGGTGAGGGTTGGCCTGAGCAGCTGGGTAGTGCGGGTGGGAGAGGGGAAGGCGAGCCGAGGGCTGGGAGGAACGGACGGAGCCCTTCTGCTCCAGGTGGCTGGTGGTGAAGGACTCCTTCCTGCTGTACATGTGCCTCGAGACCGGCGTCATCTCCTTTGTTCAGCTCTTCGACCCTGGCTTCGAGGTGCAGGTGGGGAAAAGGAGCACAGAGACCCGCTATGGGGTCCGCATCGACACCTCCCACAGGTAAGGCCTCGCTAGTGTGGAGAGAGACACCTGGTGCGTGGGGAGCCAGGCTCAGAGCCTTGGGGGCGGGGGGTGAGCGGGACAGACCAAGGCAGAAAGGAAGCTATTTCTACCAAGGAGCTGGTCCAGCCAGCTGCTGGGGACTGCTCTTAATCCAGGCTCAGAGAAAAGGGGTTGAATATTAGCCTGGGAGAGAGGCTGAAATAGATGAAAGGCACTCAATTCACTCATTCATTCATTCATTCATTTAACAAACCTGGGTGTCTGGTCCAATATCAGGGACTAGATACCCAGCTGGGACCATAAGATAAATAAAGGCCTGATCCTGTCACGTGTGAGTTAGGGACTAAGTAGTAGAAAAGAGGTGCTAGTCAACGTGGGGAGGGCTTGGGGCAAGGGTCAGTGGTTCCTCTCATTGTTCCTGCCCAGGTCGTTGATTCTCAAGTGCAGTAGCTACCGGCAGGCACGCTGGTGGGGCCAGGAGATCACCGAGCTGGCTCAGGGCCCCGGCCGAGACTTCCTACAGCTTCACCGCCATGACAGCTATGCTCCACCCCGGCCTGGGACCCTGGCCCGGTGGTGAGATGCTCAGGTCCCTTCTGAACATGCCTGGGAGCTTGTTGCTCCCCTCGGTCTTCTCTGGCTCACTGATTCTCTCTTTTAACTCCTGGGACCCCTTTCTGCTCTCCCTGACCCCTGATCTTTACAACCATGCTGATCACTGTGATCTTTCTAGCCATGACCCCTTTGACCTCCCCACTCTTCTGAGCCTTGTCTTCTTGTCCCCCCTATGACTCTTTCAAAAACTCCTCTCCCTTCCACCAACTCCCACTGTTTGCTATGCTCGCCTCAACTCTCTTCGGTCATCTCGTAAACATTTTCCAAGCACCTACTGTGTGTCAAGCCCAACAGGCTTCCCTGGTTTCACCCCCCTGGTTCAGAATGAAGCAAAGTGACCTCGTCATAGTAGGCATAGATACAGAGTCATGCTCACGGAGGAGGAGAAGCTGGTTCTGCCTGGGGATGTCAGGACAGGCTTCCAGAAGGCAGGAAGCTCCAAGGTTACCTTTAGCAAGATAATGAAAATGTGGTTCCCTATATTTTGATGGAACTGCCCAGGCACTGAAGGCAGGACTAGGCTGGTGGCTCCGGGAATGAGGAGAATGATGGTTGTTGGAGCGAGCGGAGGCATGGGCGAAGAAGAGTCCCCAGGAGTTGGCAGCATGTGAGCATGCAGGGCTCCGTGTGCAAGGCTGGCGACGGCCAGCTTATCACAGGCAGAGGGAGTCATAGGAAGAATTTGTGTTGGAGGTGGTTTTGAGAGTTCTGTTTGTTTTAGTTTTGTTTGTTTTTTTAACAGAGGAGGGAATAATAGCTGATACTTAGGTAGCACTCAGGATGGGCCAGGAACCGTAAGAACTCATGAAATCCTCATACTCACCCTGTGAGGCAGACGGAGTGGTTATCTGCATTTTACGGCGAGGGCAACTTGAGATATACTTGAGGTTACAAGGCTTGCCCAATGTCACATGGCTTGTAAACATTGTTGGAACCAGGATTCAATCCAGGAAGTCTGGGAGTGGACCTTGTTCTTCTCACCATGCTAGACTGTCTTTTTTTTTTTTTAAGTCAAAATATATGAAACCACATTAAGTGACAAAGAAAATAAAATTCCTCTTCCACTGAACATGCCAGTCTCCCTTCCAACACGCCCTCTCAACCAGCCCTACGTCTCGCCCCAGAAGCACCGCAGGGAGGGGGTTCACTTGTCTTTCTCAGATCTTTTCCTGCCTGTTTTCACGTGAGCACAATGCATAGGTGTATTTGCTTGCAGTACAGATGAGTACACACTTCTGTGACTTTTTTTTTCTTTCTAACTGAATACTTGTTTTAGAGACCAGACAATGAGGTTATTTCTTAAGAAAGCGCTGTCATGAACAGCGTTTTGCCTCAAGCATTCTGTCGGATGTCAAGAGCCCCGGTGGCAGAAGGGGGTAATGTGTTGGACGAACCACAAGGCCAGCCGGATCCAATGCACCAGCCAGGCTGTGGGAGAAAGATGAGGCTTTCTGCTCTCAGAAGGATTTACAGCTTCAGAAACCCAAAGGGGCAGTTCTGTTCTGTCCCGTCCTATAGGGTCACCGTGACTCAGAATTAACTAGATGGCAGTGAGTTTGGTTTTGGCTTTAAGGAGCCTGGTGCTGCCACAGTTAAGGGCCAGCCTGACGGTTGGGAGTTTGAACCTCGGTGGGTGATCTGCTTCTGCAAAGATGACGGTCTAGCAGACCCCAGGGGGCAGTTCTGCTCTGTTACTGGCACCAAAAGACCAAATCCGTCACGCTGGAGTCCAGTCTGACTCCCAGCCACCCGATAGGACATAACTGAGCCACCAGTGTCCTTTGTAGAAGCAGAGTGTCATACCTTTCTCCCACTGGGCACCTGGTGGGTTTGAATGGCCGACGCTCACTTAGCAGCCCTCTTGATTCTGTCACATGGGGTCGCTAAGAATGGAAAATCAATTTGGCGGCACCTAACACCCCACCATTCCTAGAATTACTGTGTCAAAAGGTGTGTGCGTTCATATCTTGATCTACACCTCTGTGTTTGAGTAGATTCTGATTCATAGCCACCCTGTTTAGGATTTCGAAGACTGCACCTCTTCCTGGGAACAGACTGCCTCCTCTTTCTCCTGTGGAGCAACTGGTAGCTTTGAACTGCCGACCTTGTGGTTAGCAGCCCAATGCCTAACCCACAGCGCTACCAGTGCTCCTTCAGTATTTTGATAAAGACTGTCAAATTTTCTTCTTCAACGGCTATACCCAATGTATATCCCCAGAGTCTAAGAATACCCACTTTTCCATGTCCTGAGGTTACATGCTACCAGTGATTTGAAGTTTGGCCAATCTAATACATAGAAAAGAAAGTCATTTCACTTTCCTTGTTTACTAGGGAAACCGAGCATCTTTTCTTATGAATGAGCATTTTCGTTCCCCCTGTGAACTGTCATTCCACCCCCCTCACCCCCTTTTGGCTTATACGTCATTTTCTTCTGATTTGGTAGAGCTCTTTCTGTATGATGTTACTAATACATCCTCCCAATCTGTCTTTTTTTAAAAAAGTTTATTATATCAGCTGTCATTTTTATTTGGTCCATACTGGCAAGTTCATCCCACTCTGGTATGTCTGACGGAACCCTCTGACCTCTCTGATCACTCCGGATCGCTTGACCCTGCTGTCACCTCTGACCCTTCACTGTCCTCGGTCTTCACTCTCCAGAGCTTTCTGCCTTCTGCCTCCTCTGACCTCCTTGGCTTGGCCTCCCCCCAGGTTTGTGAATGGGGCGGGGTACTTCGCGGCTGTGGCAGATGCCATCCTGCAAGCCCGGGAGGAGATTTTCATCACAAACTGGTGGTGAGTGACGGGAGGAAGCCCGGGGCTGGAGGGAGTTGGCAGGTCAGCCCCTTGTTCAGAGAGGGAGGCGTGGGCCTTTCACTTGCCCTTTGCCCCTGTTCCTGAATCCCAGGTTGAGTCCTGAGGTTTACCTGAAGCGTCCGGCCCATTCCGACGACTGGAGACTGGATATTATGCTCAAGAGGAGGGCGGTGAGGACAGTGGCCAGGCTGGAGGGGTGTGTGGCAGGCATTGCTTATGGGTGGAGTCCGGCTAGAAGGGGCTGCTGCAGCATGGGAGAAGATAGGGAATGTGAGGTTTCCCGGAGAAGAAATGTGCCCATCTTCGCTCGGTGTCTGGCAAATGCCACCTCCTGGCTTTTTCTTCCCAAATGAGAACAGACAGGCCTTCTTCATGCTCCCCTCTACCTGTACCTGGAACCCTTCCTTGTGTTACCTAGGGCAAGGAGCAGGGGGTACATGCCTATCTCTCTCACTAGACTGATAGCTCCTTGCGCTGAAACCCTGGCTGACTGATATCACAGTATAAGACATAGTAGTAGAAGGTGGATATGGTTGGATGGAAGGGAGACTACATGAGGATAAAAGGGCGGTGAGTGTGTCAATGGTAGATAATGGGAAAGGAGGTGGCAGGCAGGTGATGAGGCTGGAGAGGTAGATAGATAGGTGAGTGGGTGGCTAGATAGGAAGATGGCTTGCTGGCTGGATAGCTAAGGGTAAGTGAGTAGATACATGGGTGGAGGGAGGATGGAGGCAGGTGGGTGAGCAGACAGACGATGTCCCATCAAGCCTCACAGCAGTGTAAGTGGCAGGGCATCCAAGATCTCCAGGCAGTGTGGAAGGGTGGACAGGAATCACGATAATGAGGAAGGGTTGGGGAAGGCAGAAGAGAGGCATTAGGACTTAATTTCTTCCCCTTCCCCTCCTCCCCACAACCACCACCACAGGAGGAGGGTGTCCGAGTGTCTGTCCTGCTGTTTAAGGAAGTGGAGTTGGCCTTGGGCATCAACAGTGGCTACAGCAAGAGGGCTTTGATGCTCCTGCACCCCAATGTCAAGGTGACTCGGGCCTCAGAGATCCCTCTCACCCTGGGACCCTCCTCACTACCTTTGCCAACTCCCACCCTGCCTGTCCCGGAGCAGCTCATCCTTTCATCTTTCCATTTGCTCTCCCAATACCTTGGCTCTCTTCCCTCACCTAAACCCACCTTCACGAGCTGTCCCGGCTATACCTGTTGCAGGTGATGCGCCACCCAGATCAGGTGACGTTGTGGGCCCATCATGAGAAGCTCCTTGTGGTGGACCAAACAGTCGCCTTCCTGGGGGGGCTGGACCTCGCCTATGGCCGCTGGGATGATCTTCACTACCGACTGACTGACCTCGGGGATGCTTCTGCATCACCTGCCTCTCAGGTAGTCCCCCAGGGCTTTCCTGCGTGCCTCCAAACTCAGGTCGCTGAACATCCACATGCCTCTCCAGCTTCTCCCTCTTCCCTGCAGTCTTCCCAGGCCTTTTCAGAGGTCCTCAGCCTTTCTGGAACCCCAAGAGCCTTCTCTGAAGATACCCAAGTCCCGTCCCTATTTCCACGACCTCCCCCACCCCTGATTCTTCTAGGGATATCAAATGCAGATGAAAGGGAGGAGTACAGAGTCTAACTCTCTCTGCTTAATTCTTCCTCTCTGTCTCCCATGTCTGTCTGTCCATGTTGCAGTCCTCCTGTCTTTGCTTTCTGGCTCTGTGTGGCCCATGACCCTCTCCTTGCCCCTGGCTGGGCTGTGTTCCTCTTACAGTCTCCCACTCCATGCCCAAGCACCTCAGCCACCCCAGAACTCTCCCACAACCAACACTTTTGGCTGGGCAAGGACTACAGCAATCTTATCACCAAAGACTGGGTACAGCTGGACAGACCTTTTGAGGGTAAGGATCTTTCTCTCTCAAAGGCCCCAAGAGCTGGGAGCAGGGTCAGAATTGGGGCCGAGACTGAGGAAGAGATGAACTGGCTCAATGTGTGGGCAGCCTTCTGTCTGGCAGGCCCTTTCCCCTCCCCACCGCCAAGGTCTTTAAGGAATAGGCCTACTCTCTCTCTTGACCCTTCTGGCCCTCCCAGATTTCATTGACAGGGAGACCACGCCCCGGATGCCATGGCGGGACGTTGGGGTGGTGGTCCATGGCCCCCCCGCCCGGGACCTTGCACGGCACTTTATCCAGCGCTGGAACTTCACCAAGGTGCTCACTCCTTCCTTCAGGGGCTGGAGGCTGACAGGGAGGAGACAGGTTCAGCCTACCACCTCTCTCTGACCCTGCCGTCCTCCACCTCAGACCACCAAGGCCAAATACAAGACACCCACGTTCCCCTACCTGCTGCCCAAGTCCTCCATCACTGAGAACCAGCTCCCCTTCACTCTCCCCGGGGTGCAGTGCGCCACCGTGCAGGTGAGGGTTCCCACTCCTCCCCCCTTTTGCCCGCTCCCAAGGCTCCACCCATCCTCCCTGCCTGGGAGGCTATCATTCTTGGGTGCCTCTATTGCTAAGGCCCTGAGACCACAGGTGGTCTTTCACTGCAGAGAAGCATCTGATAGGGAGACCCTAGGAAGGTCTTCTGAACTTAGAAGGGATAGGGTACCTGCTGCCTGAACGGGGGCACCTCTCACATCACACACCCATCCGCCCCTCTCTCTTGTGCACCTTGGGGACAGCGTGGTGGGACACCACACAGGGAGCTGGGTGGACAGCCAGGTTCAGAACGCACCTGTACCCCACTCACTCCTTCATTCCGGGGCCAAGAATCACCCTTGCCACCTCCCGCTCACTCCTTCCCCTAGGTCTTGCGGTCAGTGGACCGCTGGTCAGCAGGGACCATGGAGAACTCCATCCTCAACGCCTACCTGCACACGATCAGAGAGAGCCAGCACTTCCTTTACATCGAGGTCTGACTGGGCTGGGGTGTGATGGACGGGAGGGGATGACCCAAGAGGGGGCTTAGGGTGTTCATGAGGGTCACGGAGGACTGGGAGAGATGGGGCCGGGCCTGGACCCGGAGCCTGGAGGTGGGAGCTGGGGTTGGGGGTGAGGGCAGGGGCCAGGCTGCTGACCTTTCTCTCTTCGATCTCCGCACTAGAATCAGTTCTTCATTAGCTGCTCAGATGGGCGGACGGTTCTCAACAAGTTGGGCGATGAGATTGTGGACAGAATCCTGAAAGCCCACAAGTAAGGGGACTGGCAGGTGGGGACTGGGTGCATCGGGGACAGGTCACCCCTCTGATCCCATTCCTCCCCCCAGACAAGGGCAGTGCTTCCGAGTGTACGTACTTCTGCCCCTGCTCCCTGGCTTTGAGGGCGACATCTCCACAGGGGGCGGTAATTCCATCCAGGCCATCCTGCACTTCACCTACAGGTGAGCCCCAAGCCATCCATCAGCCTCCTACCTCCTACCTCTGTCCGTCCGGAGTCCTTCCTGTTGGACCTTGGACTGCCCGCCTCTCTCCTGGCTCCTCATCGCCCGCCCCTAAGCCTCGGTTTACCTATTTCTTTTCCTCAGGACCCTGTGTCGGGGAGAGTATTCCATCCTGCATCGCCTCAAAGCAGCCAGTGAGTGCTGGGGGCTGGCGGCACGTCTGGGCTTGGGGTGGTTGGGGACTTGGAAGCCTGGAGGCTAGCATGAAGAGAAGGAAGCTATGATTTCTTTCTTTTGAATAAATGACTTTTTTCTTGTGAACTGGGTGTGGGAGGGGAGGCGGTCATTCTGGGGCCTCTGGGGCCACAGCCCCAACCTCGCTGCCATCGAGTCCAGGCTGACTCAGAGCGAGCCCCTGTGGGCGTCCCCCAGTGACAGCTGACAGGAGCAGAAAGCCCCGTCTTTCTCCCGAGGAGCCTCAGGTGGTTTTGAACGGCCTGCCATGAAGCTGGCAGCCCAGGGCGTGACCACGCCACCACCACGAGACCATAGGTGGCCTGGCCCTGCAGAAAGGGGTCTGTCAAGGAGACCCTAGGAAGGTCTTCTGAAGTGAGGAGGTGGGTGAGATAGGACACCAGCTGAGTGGCCGGGGGACACCTCTCACCTCACACACACTTGCCCCTCTCTCCTGTGCGCAGTGGGGACAGCATGGCGGGACTACATGTCCATCTGTGGGCTTCGCACACACGGGGAGCTGGCTGGACACCCAGTCTCAGAACTCATCTATATCCACAGCAAGCTGCTCATAGCAGACGACCGGACAGTCATCATTGGTCAGTGCCGAAGAGGAGTAGGGGGTGGTGGTGGAAGATTGCCAGGCAGGGACACAGAGCTGAAGGGGTGGGAGGATGGAGACTGCCATTGAGCCCCGACTGTGGGTGGAGGCCAAGGTTGTCTGTGGACTGGTGCTCTGGGGGAGAGGCTGGGGTTCCCCGCTGCCGCAGACCACAGGCAGACACAGCCTGTCCTGCCCTAGGCTCCGCCAATATCAATGACCGGAGCTTGCTGGGGAAGCGGGACAGTGAGCTGGCCGTGCTGATCGAGGACACGGAGATGGAAGCGTCCGTCATGGACGGGGCGCAGTATCAGGCAGGCAGGTTTGCCTTGAGTTTGCGGAAGCACTGCTTCAGGTACGGCCCACTCAGGGTGGGGGCTGCTGCAGGGTGGAAGTGGGCACCCTGCCGCAGTCCATGTGTCTCATGAGCCAGGTATGAAGGGTACTCACAAGGATTTCCGTCGTGTAGTGGTTACTACGTTCGCCTTACAAGGACTACTGGCTTTCCCAATTGGCAGAGTAATCTGATTTCGGGGACTAGCCAGGTTGGGGCACCAAACCACAACCAAGTCAAAGGAGCAGAGAGTGTATCTTTAATAGAATTAAAGCATTTACAAAAAGGAGCGACCGATGAAAACTCTCCTGGGCTTCTTTACGCTGAGTGTCTTGTCTCATGCTGCATCTACTTGAAATGACCGAGAGCAACAAGCACATTTTCCAGGTCCTCTAAGGCTCTTCCTCTGTCCCTGTTGGGACCCCTTTTCGCCTGTAGTGTGATTCTCGGGGCCGATGCCCGGCCAGACCTGGATCTCCGAGACCCTGTCTGTGATGACTTTTTCCAGTTGTGGCAAGATACAGCTGAGAACAATGCCAACATCTACGAGCAGGTAGGAAGTTTGTGGGTGTCGGCCTGGGGGAAATGCAGGGCTCACAGCCTATTCATAAGAGGGGGTGAGGGTTTTGGAGGCAGTGACTGTCAAGGGATTCAAAGGGTCGATGTGAGGGGGGGGTATTGAGAGATGGTGGGAGAGGAGTGGGGGCCTCCAGCCCAGTAGGAATGGACTCTTGGGCGAGTCTCCCTAAGCCTGATTGCCTCCCACTCCTCCCTGTTCCCACAGATCTTCCGCTGCCTGCCGTCTAACGCCACCCGCTCCATGAAGGTTCTCCGGGAATATGTGGCCGTGGAACCCTTGGCCACGGTCAGTCCTTCCTTGGCCCAGTCTGAGCTCACCAAGGTCCAGGGCCACCTGGTCCACTTTCCCCTCAAGTTCCTGGAGGATGAGTCTTTGCTGCCCCCACTTGGCAGCAAGGAGGGCATGATACCCCTGGAAGTGTGGACCTAGCCGAGGCTCCGGGCAGGAGAGAGGTCACCAGCTGCTGGGCTCTACTTTGTCAGGCTCCTGTCCCCGGACCCGTGGACTGAAGGCAAGGCCCTTTGGGACGTGGGAAAGGCAGGCATCCCCCAGGGGGACAGAGAAGGAAGTTATAAGGGACCCTTCCTTGGACAGCAGCCAAGGAGGGCACACCTACCTCTAGCCTGGGGAGTGAGGAGAGGGGCCCAGAGAAGAGTGCTCTCGCTGTCTCCCAGTTCAGACCTGCTTCAGAGAAGCCCAACTCCAGCCCCAGGATGCCCGGAGTCAAGCCACTAACTTCAGGAGGACAGGGCGCTGCCCTCCTTCTCCTGCCCTTGAGCTCTCACCCTCCCTAGAGCCTCTCTTCCAGCCTGTTTTGCCAAGGTGGAGGGAAAGCTGGAGGACCCACGGGGGGCAAGGGGCTCACTAACCCCCACCTCTGCCAGCCAGCTGACAGACACTAACTTTGTATCAGTTCAATAAGCGTTTCATAAATAAATGTGTAGAAAAAGTCTGCTTGCGTCTTCCTTGAAGAATCCTGGTGCACTTGGAGTCACCTACACGCCCACACAGAGCACCTGTCTCCTGGGGTGGGGGGGGGCTGTGCACAGCTGCCCACCCCTTGCCTCTCCTTCCACCTCCATCACTGCTCTACGGGATTGTAGCAGCGGGAGCTTAGTCACCCGGCTGCAGGCAGGAGAAGGTCTTCACTGTGCGATGCCTGGTATTAGAAAGGGCAGAATTGTGGTTCTGACCTTGCTGAGAGACTGAGGGCAAGGTGCCTACCAGGGCTTGCAGCCTCTGCTTTGGGTTTCTCCAAGAACAGCATGGGATATACTGATGGAAGCCCCGTGGGGGTGGTTCACTGCACAGGCTTCATTCCTGTCAGGAAGAACTGGCTTAAATCCAGGATCTGTCACTTGCTCGCTAGATTTTCTTGTCAAGTCACATCACCTCTCTGGGGCCTTGGTGGCACCGACTGGGAAAGGTGCAATTGGCTTTCTGTAAAGATTCTGCCCCTGACCCTAAGCATTTATAGAACACCTGCCTGGGGGGGTGCAAGGCAGACCGGGCCGTCCGCTTCCCTAAAGACCGATGGAGCAGTCCTGCTCTGTAGCACACGGGGTCGATGCGAGTTGGAATCTACTCAAGACAATGATTTGCCAGGACTGGCGTAGGGAACCTTAGTGGCATAGTGGTTACCCATTGGGCTGTGACTTGCAAGGTCAGCAGTTCAAAACCACCAGCTGCTCCATAGGAGGAAGATGAGGCTTTCTACTATAAATATTTACAGCCTCCTAAATCCGTAGAGGCAGCTCTGCTCTGTCCGACAAGATCACTGTGAGTTGGAATCACTGAGTTTTGAGTAAGTGCAACAAAGTAATCTGAATAAGTGCAACAAAGTAATCCTTAACTCTGGTCTATAGTTTCCCTGCCCAGTTTCATACCCACCAGCCCCAAGGTTACATGCTGGGCTGCTAACAGCAAGATCAACAGTTTGAACCCAGCAGCCACTCCATGGGAGAAAGATGAGGCTTTCTCCCCCAGTAGAGATTCGCTGTCTGGGGAGCCCACAGAAGCAGTTCTACTCTGGCCTCTGGGGTTGCTGTGTCGGACTTGATGCGATGGCGGTGAGCCACATGTGGCTATTCAATGTAAATGAATTAAAATCAGAGGAAAAGCATTTCTCGGTCTTAGAGGAATACAAGATCGCCACGTGTTGCCAGTGCCCCATGCCCATCACAGCAGAAAAATGCTCCCGTTCTACTGGGCAGCGCTGCACTCGAAGGAGAAGAGGGACCAAAGGGCACAGTCTGTGAGGGTGCAGAACACATCCTGGGGGGTGAGTATGTGTGTGTGTGTGGGGGGTGCATGGAGAGAAAGAGAGGGGCTAACAGAAGGGTATACAAAGAGAGAGCTTCTATTACTTCTTAAACCGAGTGGTAGATTGATGGATTTTCATCATGTGTTTCTTAGGATTTTTCTGTCCTTCTGAAATGTTTTGCAATGAAACAAAAAAGCTTAGGATAGGTCTTAGCTCACACCCTTCATTCCCCTCAACCTCATCCTCCAAAGTCTCCAAGGGATACAGCTGAGGGGTGTGGGGTGAAGGCTTGAGGAAGTCTTTCCGGAATGGGGGGAGCCCTGGCGGGGTGCTGGGTCTGAGGGTCACTGTGAGTTGGAATGCAGTCTACTGGATGGCAGTGTTTGGGTTGGGGTCTGGAAGGGGGCGGGGTGCTGGAGGGGGCAATGGTCTAAGGAGGTCTCAGGAGGTTGCCTTGCCCCCATCCTCTCCATTTGAGTACTGTCCTCTCCTCACTCAAAGCCATTTCCACACAAGGAATCCCCCTCCTACTACTTATAGCGGTCCCTCAGTGCTAATTGGCATCCTGTTAATTAGCCTCATTATCAACCCTAAGTGCTTCTTTCCCAGGGGGCACTGTCACCTCAAGAACTGTGGAGTGGGGTGTCAGTGTCGGCAGCAGCTGCCCCAGGCTTGGTTAAGAGTGAGGTGGGCTTCTCCACCGTGGGCCCAGCTACCCTTTCCCCATTAGCTTTACGGTGTCTTTCTTAAATAATTAATTTTTCTACTTTAGTTGTTGTTGAGACACTGCACAACAAAACATACCCCCATCAACCCTCCACATATGATCCAGTGATGAATCTTTGCATTGAGTTTAGCAGCTGTCTTCCCCCGACTATTTCTGAGTCATTCCTCCTCCATTCACAGAAACTCACTGCCCCCTAAGGTTCCTATCTCATCGTTTAAGTTGTGGTTGTCAATTTGATGTGGAGTCAGCCTTCACTCATCGAGACCCCCACCCTGTGACCAGCAGGAGGAAACACTGCCCGGCCCTATGCCGTCCTCCTGGGTGGTGTTTTGAGTGCCTTCCAATCTGAGGGGCTCCTCTTTGGGCATTAGATCTGACAGTGTTCCGCTGCTATTGTCCGGTTTTCCAGCAGCTAATCTCTTAAAAGGGGCAGCGGATTCTTGCTTCCCAGTCTGTTCTTAGTCTGGAAGCTTCTGTGAAACCTGTCCACCACGGGTGACCCTGCTGGCATTAGTGGCATTAGCTTCCAGCACCACAACACACAGGCCACCACAGATCTTCAAAGAACATCATGCTCAAGACTGGATGTACATCCAAATGTTCTAAGGGGGGAAAGTCCAGGAAAAAAAAGAGGCTGTTCAGCCTCTTTCCAAGGACATTTCTTTCAAAGTCTACTCAAACCGACTCAGTCCATTCTGACTCAGAGAACTTCCTGCCCCTTGGGTTCTGAGTTGAGATTTGATACCTTTACCTGAGCAGGTGGTATCCTTCTCCCTAGGAACAAACTGTGGGCTCACAACACTGACCTTGTAGTTGGCAGCCCAATGCTTAGTCCGCTGTCATGGCACCAGGCCCCTCAATGTCTACTAAAGTAAGGTTTGTATCAGGGCTGGTGGTCGGGTCTTCAGATAGTGTTGGCGCCCTGGAAGGGATCTCGGAGACCATACAATCGCCCCCCTCAGTTTTACAGCGAAAAGCCAAGAAAAGCAAAGTAATTTGCTTAATGCCCCGCAGTGGGGCCTGGCAGTTCAGGACTTCTTGCTATGATGCATTACTCAGCTTCCAGGGAAGCTTAGTGGCTGGGGGCGTTGTGCCAACAGGCCGAAAGCTAAGGTAGACTCAGCGAGATTCGATGGGGGTGGGGCACCGATTCCTCCTTCCATGGGCCTGCCCACATTGCCCCTCTCCCCACTCCCCCCCGCGGCTCCAGTAATCAGGCAATGAATAATCCTTGAAAACAGTTCCTCTGTGCAGAGCACTTAATAAAGAGAGGTGCAGAGACTGCGGCCTACAACAAAATTTCTTATCCTGAGATCTGAGATCCTTCCCCTCCCCAACACTCCCAACTCCAGGCTGGGAAGGGAGAACAGGGCATTCCAGAAACAGCCAGCCTTCCGCTGCTACCCCCAACTCCCACGTGCTTTCTCCAACCAAGTTCTCACGGAGAGGCCCCTCCTCCAGCGGCTCGACGGTTGCCATGGCAATAGGGTGGGTGGACAGCCCATCCTATCTGCAGGCCACCCAGCCCTCGCGTGGGGAGTTGCCATAACAACCCCCCTAGTAATAGAGGGCCGTCCCCCATTTCCCCCGCAACTAGCGAGGTGGGTGGCTTGATTGGTAGCTGGGCACACAAAGGAGGTGGGAAAGGAAGGAAAGGCGCCAACAAAAATTAAGAGGGAAATAGGGGAAAGAGTGGGGGGGGGAAATGGGAAGGGGTGGGGGGATAGAAAAAGAAGCGCGTGTGCGCACGCGCGCCAGCCGGTGGGCGAGCTCCGAGGCCGCCCCGGCCACCGCCCACTCCCTGCACGCCAGGTTCGCGCGGGCGCTCGGTCCTCGCGCGCGCTCTCCGCGCTCTCCCTCTTGCGCCTGCGCCCAGGTGTCGGCGCCTAGGGGGAGGGGGAGCCCGGCACGGCCGCGTCACGTTCCCTCTTCCACCCTCCGGGTGCGCGGCCCGTGTGCGCCTGCGCAGAAGAGTCGGGCGGCTCGGGTTGCAGACTCTCGAGCGAGATCTCCTGTCAGCCGGTGGGTCGGTCTTCCTGCCGGCCCTCCCCCTCCCTGTTCTCCGGGGGAGGCGCGGTGGAGCCCGCCCCCGGGGTCCCCGATGGGGGAGAAGCGGCGGCGGCGGCAGTGGATTAAGCAAGGCAGAGCGTGAGCGGCTTCGGGGCTCCGTTCCCGGCGGAGGCCATGGGCGACCCAGCCCCCGCCCGCAGCCTGGACGACATCGACCTGTCCGCCCTGCGGGTGAGCGCGCCACCCCCCAGCCTCGCCCCGCTCCGCGCCCACGCCGCAGGGGAGCCAGGTGGCTCCACGCCTCACGTGCTCCCCGGGCGCCGCTGCACTAGCCCCATCCCCCCGGTGTCCCCTTACTGGGCTCCCCACCTCCCCTGACCTCTGCCCCTTGCGCTCCACTCGCTGCAGATTTCAGGGAGCTACTTTGATCTCCGCCCAGCGTTGGAGGGGTGGGGGGGCCCGCACTTCTCTCCGGCCCTACCTTCATCCGGAGGTCCGGGACCCTCTTCCTTCCAGGTCGGGAGGGCCACCCTCTGCCTCCCCTAAACGCGTGCGGTCCAGCAGCTGCAGAATCCTTCCTGCCGTGCCTCTCTCGGCCCTTACGCCCCTCGGGGCTCTCTGTGCACCGCTGCCCCATACTTTTTCCCTCCCCTCCCTGTTCCGCACCCATTTTGACTTTGCCACTCGTCTTGACAGCCTCCTCCTCATCACCCTTTCTCTTCCTCGCCCACCCCTGAATTGCTTCTCTGCCCCCGAGCCGAGCATTTCAGCCTCCCTATTCCACCTCCTGCCTTCTCCCATACCCCCATGTTCAGTTTCTGTCCTTTCTCTCGGGTTTCAAGTGCAGCAGTCCAGAACAGGCATTTCCGGTCTCAGGGTCCCTGAATATTACATTACCAGATCTGCAGTGGAGTGGGGCTGAGCGAGAGACAAGTGCATTGGGGGAGGCGAGAAGCGTTGCTTCTCTTCACAAACTCTTGCAGGGTCTGGGAAGAGGATGTTTACATGCACACACACACACACACACACACACAGGATGTTTACACACACACACACACACACACACACTCACTCACTGGAGCACATGCTGTTTGGGGCCGGCCTGGGTGCTTTGGAAAAGCAGTGGGGATGTTTGAAGTTGGCAGGGGGTGTGGGGGGGTGGTGGGGATATGATGGTGGATCTCTCCAGGGAGAGGCTCATTAGAAAAAGGGATCCGAGGAAATGCCAGCAGCAAGAATTTCTTCGAAATACCCATTTAGTGCCCCTCATGGGGGCACTTACATGGCCTCAATTGGGAGCTTTCAGCAGCATCTATGCGCTTTCTTTTTCTTTGTCTTCTTTTATTTTCCCCCAAGCAGGAAACTCTTGGCTTAAGGGGCGACTTAATGATTTCAAGGTGAACACTCCTGACATCCAGGTGGCCTTGGGGCTTTCTCACCAGCTCAGCTAGACCAGGGGCAGTATTTCCTATCTCTAGGTTAGCTTCTCTGGAGAACCCCCACTTTCAAATTGCCCTGCCTTCTGGCTTGTGAGTGAACCAGGGGGGAACCCGACCCATATTGAAAAAGGCGGCCAGCCACCCCGGTGCCCCGGATATGTCAGGAGGGGAGGGGAATTGAAGAGAGCAGAGTCATGTTGCTAATTGGGTTTCTCTGGGTGACACAGTTTTTTCCCTGCCATTCAGGTCATAATTTGGTGCGATGTTGGGCTCTGAGACCTGGGGCTTGCTTAGAGATAAGGTGATAAGTTGCTATGAGGGAGATGGGGTATTGAATTTCTGTGTGTGTTTGTGTGTCTGGGGAAGGGGTATCAAGGCTTCTGGGGGGAGATTTTTTCCAGGCCAGGGTTGAAACTGGAATTCTCAAGTCAGTTGAGCTAGAAGGAAAAAAAAAAACAAAAAACCGCCCAGCTCTTCAATATATTCTGCTCTGGGATGAGCCACCACCTAACTACCTTCCCTTCCCACCTTGGTTGTTGATTAACTCTGACTGCAGGTTCCTGTGGCCATCTGAGGAGACTGAAATATAATAAAACTGGGTGAGTTCAGATCGTGACCTTTGGTTTAGACCTTGTGGGACTTGACTTAGCCTGGGCTTCATTCTCTCATCTATTAGCCTCCTGGTAGTTTGGCCTGTGCCCTCATCCTGGGATTTCCAGCAATTCTGGAATCCCTCTGACCTTGGATGTGGCAAGAAGCACTGTTTCGTCTCCTTCCTCAATTGCTTCCTGCCTTTCACCCCACACACCCCTCCCCAAGACAACCTGGTGATTTGCTTCCTGGGCTTCAGTCTGGCTTGCCTCAGGCTTCTTAGAAAAGTATCCCCCTTCCCACACGGACCCCTCCAGTACTCTGGGCATGAAGGGGAGTTGGGCTTTCCTTGAAATGGGACTGGAGGGGGCCTGCTTTCTCCTTGTGGCTGACCTTTCCTCTGCGTTCCACCTCAGCTCGCTGCTGTGGTTCTGTGGAGCTGCTGCCTCAGTCATCCCTTGTTCTGTTCCTGTCTGCTTTCCAGTGAGAAATAGGAACCTGGAGCATTAGCAGCACATCATCTTTTGCTGGAGGATGGGGTGGGGGAAGGGGAAAGGCACGGCCAGCGTTTGTTAGCTGGCCTTAGAGAGCCCAGGTTGTCCGTCTCCTCTTGTTTCAGGCAAAGACTTGGTTTTCAGCTGGTGATGATAGTTAGATCTGACATTAGGGCGATTGGATTGCAGTCATCTCTTAGCCATGTACGGGGAGATGGAACGGACTTGCCACTTTGGGACCCACAGCCACCCTTGACCTCTTGGAAGCCCTGTTTCTCCACCCGCACAGTGGCTTGGTGTGTGGAAAAGCATGGAGTTTGGAGTTGTGGTAACCAGCTCAAGTCCTTGCTTCCTGTGTTACCTGGGCCTTGCTACCCCTTGGTCCTTGACTTGCTGAAGACTGTGCAGAGACTTTATCTGTTTAAGGATGTTTTCTCATCGACAGAGTAGGGGTGGTAATAGTAGTACTAAGCCCAAGAGCTGTTGAGGATTAAATGGAGCACTGAATGTTGAATTCTCTGAAATGCCAGTGACCCTATAAGACAGGGTAGAATTGCTCCTGTGGGTTACCAAGTCCATGTAGTTTTAAAGAAAATTATTTTATTGGGGGCTCGTACAGCTCTCATAACAATCCATGCATCAATTGTATCAGTCACATTTGTGCATATGTTGTCATCATTTTCAAAGCGTTTTCTTTCTACTTGAGCCCTTGGTATCAGCTCTTCTCTTTTCCCTCCCTCCCTCCCGAAGAGTATACATTTTTATGGGAATAGGAAGTTTTCTTTTTCTCCCAATGAATGACTGGTGGTTTCAAACTACTGGCCTGATTAGCAGCCCAAAACGTACATACCCCACCACCAGGGCTCCTATGGACCACATAGTGATTCTTAATGTTACCAAATGTATCTGAAATAGCATTCCCTCCTTTGCTTTGTAGAAAGCTTGGGTGCATTTTTATATTGCATCCTTTTAATGTGCTTTATTTTACTTCATAGTATTTTTCGCTACCTGCTAACACACCTTTATTTCTGTCAGTCTCCATTAGAATATAATAAGCTCATTGAGAGCTAGGATGATGTTGTTTTTGTCTATTTTTGCATCTTTAGTACCTAGAACATGTTTTGACATAATAGGGGGCTCAAATATTAGGTGAATGCATATTCTAACATGTCTGAAGAAATTTGTTAACAAATGTCAGACTTGTTAGGCTTCCTCTGCCTCTCTTACACATGAACAGTTCAGAATGTATCTTTTCTGAGTTGTTTTCAGTATCAAACCTTGTCTGGTGGTCAGGAGAGTTCTGGAAAGTTCCACGGGAGGGATGCCCTTAATAAAAGTTGGGATAATCGAAGAGAAAAGTTGGGCCTCCTGTTTCAAACCATCTCAGTGTCCAAGCTTGATTATACTACAGCACGATCTTCTGACTTGAGCATCTTGGCTTTAGTTCATGGCAGGGAAATGGCAACAGTGGAGCAGAGGACCTGGAACTTTCGCTTCAGTATCAGTGGAAGTGGGTCCCCGGGAGGAAGAGGAGGAAGACCCCAGACTGACTCTCCTTCCTTTTGGCTGAGCCACTTTATCCATCTTGCCGCTTCGCCGTACAGTCCGTCCGACCAGTTAGAAGTTTTAGACGGCGGTGTCCTTGAAACTGTGGGACTGTGCTGTGTTGTCCACTGAAATGACACGGTGCACTACCCAGAGAGACGGGTTGCTAGGTGGTCGTCGCTGACAGAGATGGTCTTTTTCAAATGATTGTATGGTTGCTGTTGGCCTTATCCTTGGCCTTATCCTTATGTTGGCCTTATCCTTATCTCCGTCTCTCTTCCCGCGGCTCTGGAGGCAGCACCACCTGGAAGGCTGGCTCTTTGGGGCATGTGTTTTCAGACCGCTGAGCAACAGGTTGGGCCTGCCCTGTGCTCGTATGTGCTAGCCATCCGAGGGTTGGCAGCAGATGCCCCAGGCAGGGCAATGGGAAGACTGACCTCCTGCAGCAGAAGTGATGGCATCAGGTGGTGACTTTTTACCCTCTAGAGAACTGCAAAGAGGAAAGAAATGGCACAGTTTGGGAAGCTGATGGCATTTGGAACGAAATGAGATACCGCTTTGGCAAAATGATGGAAGATTACAGAGAATTTTACTGGATCCAGGTGTTCAGCATCTGCCAAATGAGAAGCTAGATCAGCGGTTCTCAACCTGTGGGTGGCCACCCTTTTGGGCATTGAACAACCCTTTCACAGGGGTCGCCAGATTCATAAGAGTAGCAAAATGACAGTTATGAAGTAGCAACGAAAATAATTTTATGGTTGGGGGAGGGGGTCACCACCACATGAGGAACTGTATGAAAGGGTCGCGGCATCAGGAAGGTTGAGAACCACTGAGCTAGATCATGCTGTGGGTTAGAGCAGATTGCTGGAGTGATCCATGGAGGATGGGAGGCTCTTTGGAAAAGTGAGGTTTCGACAGTTGACGTGGAAGGGCAGCAAGAGAACCAGCTGGCCCGCTGCTTTTCCTCTGGCCCGGGGAATAATGCTGACTGGGACCTGCATTCCAAAACTGGCCTCCATTCCCTTCGACGACGTTGAGCTGGGTGCCTGGGACAGGGTGGGTAACTCACACAACGCGGAGCACCCGTGGAGTGGCCCCCCTTGTCGTCTCAGAGGGACGGTGGCAGGAGGTGGATACCTGTTCTTTACAAGTTGACGTTCTGCCATAGGTCTGCAGATGGGGAAGACAGAGCCTTGCAACCCAGAAACAAAACAGTTCTAGGATGGGAAACGTCTCCACAAGCCATTGAGAGAGAGAGAGAGAGGCCATCTGCCTAACCTGCCTGCTTTCAGACAGTGTTGTACCAAAGATAGTCATTGATGACATGTTTCCTTGTATGGCTCAGTCATCAAGCATTGCCAGGAGGCTGTTGGGAGAATGAGGTGCTGGACACCAGGAGAGTGGAGTAAGGTGGTGCTCCCTCCGTACTGTGCAAACTATGGAATTGGAACCCTGAGAGCACCCATCTAGGTGTCTTCTCAAGCTCAGGCCCCCCTTTCCTTAAATTTTTTGAAAGGAAGTTTTTAAATTGACAAAGCGACTCCGAGGTCCTCTCATTTCAGGGAGGAGACTCACCATCAGCATCAGCCTGAGGCTGATTCCCATGAGGGGGAGGTCAAACGGACAGGCTCCACCCTCCAACAAGCTTACTTACCAGTTCGGCCACCATCCATCACTCCCACCGCACTCCACTCACTGCTGGGTT